TATTTTCCGGACCTTTGAGCCTGATGTCTCCTTTTTCTCCTACTCCTATTATTCTTAGATTTTGTCTTTTCATGGTGTCCTTGATTTCTTGGATGTTTTGTGTTTGGAACTTTTCTGATTTTATTTTTTCTTTGAGAAATGTGTCAATTTCCGCAAGTGTATCTTCAGCTCCTGAGATTCTTTCTTCCATCTCTTGTATTCTGTTGGTGATGCTTACCTTTGTAGTTCCCGATCTTTTCTCTATGTTCGTCAGCTCCTGCTTTTTCTCTATTTGTGTTTTCTTTATTGATTCTAATTCTGTTTTCATGTCTTGCACCATTTCCTTCATCTGTTTGAATATGGAGTCCTGCTTTTCAATGACAGCTTCTATTTTTTTGTCTGTTTCCTCTCTATGTATCACTAATTGTGCCTCTACTTCTTTGGGTATAATTGCCTGTATTTCTATGAGAGCTTTGTTTATTTCTTCTTTATTTGCCTTTATTTGTGTGGACATTTCTTTGAGAGCTTTGTGCATTTCTTCTTTGTTTGCCTCAATTTTCATGGTCATTTCTCTGAGAGCTCGATTTTTTCCTCTTGGTTCGTCTCGATTTCTTTGGTTATTTCTCTGAGGGCTTTGTTTATTTCATCTTTATGGGCCTCTAATAGCTGGAGAAACATAGTTTTGAGGTCTTTTTCTTGTATATCTAGTGAATTGAAGTGTCCATCGTTTGTGGGGTTGCTGGTGAGGTCATTATGTCCTGAATTTTGTTGGGAGTGTTCTTACTTTTGCCTCTAGCCATCTGGTTATTTATAACCCTCAATGTTTGTTCCTCGAGTTTGTAGTTTGGGCTATGATAGTCTCTTTATGTTTTCTGGACTGTTTTTTCAGGAAGATGAGAGAGGTTCACTGCTTTGGGAGTATGCGTTGTGGTTTCAGTTTTGTCTAAGTAAGGAATGTGACGCTGGTGCTATTTGCATGTGTTTTTAGCAGGCACAGTGTCCATGCATTGGTTCTTTGACTATTGCAGTGGCCTGCAGGCCACTATTATGCAGTTCTGTCTGAGATTCAGGGATTGTTTGCCTGGATTACACTGGTAGACCCACAAGGCAGAGGCTTCAACGTTGTGGTCACTATCCAAAGAATCCTTATGATGCCCACACTAGGGGTGTGGGTGGCAGGGATCTCGTCTGGTTGCTTCTGTGGAGAGGCCCTGGGTCTGGGGCAAACTCTCCCTAGAAGGCTCACTCACTCTTTTTTAGGACCAGTTGGAATGCACAGGGGTTCTCCTTGCTCTCTACTCTCTGATTTGGTCCTGCTGCGGGAAATGTGTGGGTAGGCTAACAGTCAGCTCTGTGACACTGGCCGCAGGACTCAGTGTCCACCTTTCCCGTGTGCTGTTTCTCTGTCCTTTCCCTCTGCCAGGAGGGGTTATGTTGACTGGTCCAGGGGTAGTGCAGGAAAGAGGTTAAGTGTTCTCAATCCCAGATCCTGGGCCCAGATCTCTCTGCCGGAAGCAGCCTGGCAGAAGAACCTATGTTTGCTGATTCTGAGAGAGTACCAGGTATGGTTGAGTGTCCTCAGATCCAGAGCTTGGATTTCTCTGCCAGGGGCCACTGGGTGAGCTGTAGAGGGGATGCTGTGTCCTATGGCAGGCTGCCTCTCTGTCCTTCCCCTCTGACCTTCCCCTTTGCTAGGGCAAGCTTTTGGCGGTGCTCTCAGGGGAGTGACAGAAGGGGTTGGAACTTGTCAGTCCGATCCTGAGCCGGGGTTTCTCTTCCAGTGGTCAGGGGGGTGGGGTGCCGGTGATAGGACTTGGTGCTAGACCTTATTGTGCTGGACCCAGGAGAATCTCAGGATGTGTTGAATGACCACAGTCCCAGATCCCGAGCTGTAGTTTGTTTGCTAGGAGCAGCTGGCAGCACTGGAGTTCCAGCACTGTGAAGCCGCTGTGTACCTCTTTATCCTTGCCCTCCGCTGCAGCAGGGTTATGGCGGCGTTTGGGGGAGTGCCTGAATGGATTGGGTTTTCTCAGCCCCGATCTCGGGTTGGGGTACAGACAATGTGGTCTGTGGCAGATTCTGCTGGACTCCCCCTGCCTCCTCCGAAGAGGGAGTAGGGATTTTGAGCTGGGCGCGCAGCTGCTCTCCGTGAGCGGTGGGAGCTCAGTTGTGATGGCGGCGGGTACCCGCGGTCAGCGAGACCTTCCGGGGAAAGACTGGGTGACCCGTGATCAGTCTTGCAACTTTCCTTCCCCGTGGGGTTTTTTTTTTTTTGCGACTGGGACTCTCAGTCTCAGGCACCCTTGTACCCACCGATCAACCTGGGAAAGTGATCAGGGCACACAGGTGTGCAGCTCCCGCCTGGAGACCCAAAGCCCGCGTTACCTGGGTTCTCTTCTGGGTTCTGGCTCTGGGGCCTGAGAGTGGACCTGACCGATTCCCACGCTGTGGGAACCTCCCCTCACCTGGGAAACACGATCGCTGTAGTTGCTGTAGTTTTAGGGCCCAGAGTTCAGTCTCCTGGTCGCTGCACAGAGAGTGCTGTCCCGCTTCTCAGACACAGTGTTCTCCTGGCGCCGCCATCTTGACACCCCCCCCCCCCCGTACTCTGCCGTTTGTTTCTTCTTTATGTGCCTCTAATAACTGGATAAGCATAGATTTGAGGTCATTTTCTTGTGTTTTGGATGAATTAAAATATCCATTGATTTTTGGGTTTGTTGGTGAAGCCATGATGTCCTGATTTTTGTTGGATTTCTTATAAAACAGGCCTCTAGATATCTGCTTATCTGTAGCTTTCACTGTTTGTTTCTGGAGCCTGAACTGCAGACTGGGTCCATCTGTCTCTGGAATCTAGAGTATTCTTCAGGAAGATAAGAGAGGTCCACAGGATTAAGGGTGTATTCTGGTGTTTCCGAAGTAGCTAAGAAAGGAAGGTTCAGGTGTGTGTGTGTGCCAGCATGGGTGTATGTGTGGAACTGTGCCTTGAAGGACCTGTTGCAAGGGCATGTAGATGCTGGGAAGGGTTGAGTGTAAAGGGCAGATAGGGCTGCTAGTGCTGTTCTTGGGCTCGGTGCTCCTGTGTGGATGCCCTGATTATCTCAGTGGCCCACAGGCTTGTTGTGCTATTGTGCTCCAGGTACTTAGATCTGTCTGGTCTGCACCATCTCTGCTCCAGGAATTGTTTACCTGGACTCCACTGGGAGACCCACCGAACAAGGGCTTCCATGTTGAGTACACTGTCCCAGGGATCCCTATGTTGCCCACGTTGAGGGTATGGGTGGGAGGGATCCAGTGTCTGGCTGTTAGTGCAGAGGGACCCCTGATCTTGGTCTCTGTATGTAGCCACTCAAAGTTGCACTCACTTGCATGTATATGTGGAAAGCACCGGGGGGTGGAGGGGGGCTCATGGTTCTCACTCTCATATTTGGGCATGCAGGGGCAAGTGAAGGAGATCCTTCAGTGGTGTCTGCTCTTTGGCCACTAGAGCAGGGAGGCCAGTACTTAGGACAGCAGCCTAAGAAACTCTCACTGGGGCAAGGGAAAGTTCAGGGGGTCAAAAGTTAGTCACTCTCAGACCTTGGAGTTGTCCACAGGTGGCCTGGATCAATCTGTCCTAGCTCACAGGCTGTCCCTTCTAGCCAGGAAAGCCTCAAAGTTGATGTTCTGGCTTCAGCTGCCCCTCCACTCACCAGTTTCAGAATTTTGGATCTACTGCCCCTCAGATATGGTGGACACTGTTTGCCACCATTTTGGAGCCCCCAATCATTGGTAGGTTTAACCAAGTGTTTTATGTGACTAAAAGATATAGAGGTTTCATGTGACTGTGTTTATAATTAGAAATTGCTGTCTTCAGCCGATCATGTTTACAGAAGCAAATACCTAGAACAGAGGTTAGAACATTCTCCTTTTACAGGAGATTTGTAGGCAGCTGCTTCTTACCAGGGAACTTTCAGTAAATCTTCTGTAAGAGTGTTTCTGGTTTTGTTTTTTCTTTTTATACCTGTTTGAGTTTAAGTTCCTCTTTCTATATCAAAGCTTTGAAATCACTATATAAATATCTTAGTAATTTAGCTGTTTTTTTCTTTTTTATTTTAATTTTTATTAATTACAGTCTATTCACTTTGTATCCCAGTTTTATCTCCCTCCTCAACCCCTTCCCAATGCCACCCACTCTCCCTCTTCTCCTCCATGCCCTTCCCCCAGACCACCGATAAGGGAGGTCCCCCATCCCTTCCATCTGACCCTAGTCTATCAGGTCTCATTAGGCCTGGCTTCATTGTCTTTCTCTGTGGACTGGTAAGGCTGATACCCCCTCAGGTGGAGGTGATCAAAGAGCCAGCCCCTGAGTTTATTTTTTAATAAATTCTTTAAACTCTAAATGACAAGGGACCTCAAGTTCTTGTGTTATTCATGTTTCTCTATCTCCCAATCTCTTTCTCTTCCTGTCTTTCCCTCAGAGGATTGTTACTCCAGAAGGTACTCTAAATAACACTAGATAAAAGTATGCTTATAAGTTTTTCTACAATTTTTCAGGCAGATCCTATAGTATGATCTTTGGAAATGAGCTTTCAGAAGTTGTTCAATCCCACACCTCTCTCTTCTTTGGATATTAGTGCTAATTGTTGTCATAGTTACCATAATTAAGTTTAGGAGAATGGCAAGAAAAATGCCATCTAAACTTTCAGACATTCAGCAAGATTCCTGACATAGTGAACTTTTGTAAACCTTAGAAAATTTATAAATAACTAGTAAAAATTGATTTTGGTAAATTTTGTCATTTATTTTATGGAAAATTGGATTTGGAAAAATTTCATGTTTTTTTTTAAATACTCTTATGTTATGGTCCCATTTTTCTCAAAGTTTCAGTAATGAGTATCGTATGGCTTATTGTTGATATTTCCTAAGATTGTGTGTAAATCCCCATGGTAAAATCATGTTGCCTGAGATTAAAATAACCTATAATTTAATTTTTAATTTTTTTTCTAACAATAGAATATTAATTAATTTTTCTTTTTCTTTAGAATGTGATATGTTCATTTGTTCCACATCAAATTGGTTTATTTAAAGTGAAGATACTGATCGAGATTATCGGACCAGTAGCAGATGAAAGCTTACAGTCTTTGTCAATGAAACCTTTTCATTATATACATTTAGAATTCAACAGCACTTGCAAAGCTTACACTAAAAAAGTTGGAATGAAAATTAATCATGGTATGTTATTGTATTAGTTTTAAACAGCTCTGATGTGATTATTGTTGTTAATATAAGAGTATAATGTATCAAACAGGGTCAAAACAGGGCTTTCTACCTTTTTAAAGTTATCAAAGTGACCTAGAATGCCTGTTCAAAAACATATTATGGGCCAACATTCTAGTATTATTAATTAGGTCTCTGTCTATACCAAAGAGTTACTTTTCTATCATATTTACAGTAGAATTTTTTTTTAATTTCCAGGCATCTTATACAGATGCTAAAATATTTTCATGGTTGCTATGCTATTTTTTTCTATTTTTTTCCTGAAATTCAGTGTAAACTGGTTTTAACTACATCCAGTTTTTCTTGCTGCTGCAGTTTTATATAGTCATATATAACGTTTTATTAATTGAATCATGGGAACTTGATGATATACAGATGTCTTTAACTTAAAAGGAAAAAAAAAACCTTTCACTTTTATACAGGTCAAGTCAACTTAAATCTTCACTTTACCATGGTTATTATTCTATTTATAGCTCATTAACATTTAAGTGTAATTTTGTTAAGTTGGTTTTATATAGGCACATGTATTATAAGAAGTCATTTGTATTTTCACAATGGGTTTGAGAAGTCAACTGTTAAAATCAACTGTCTTCAACAGTGTTCTCTTGGTCTATTGCCATGACCACAGCAACTCATATATAAGCAAGCATTTAAGTGGTTTGCTTAAAGTTTTAACTGTTTAGTCCATTATTATTATTATTATTATTATTATTATTATTATTATTGAAAGCATGGCTGCATGCAGGCAGATATGGTGCTGGAGAAGGAGCTGAAAATTCTACATGTGGATTGGCAAGCAGCAGGAAGAGAGACACTGGGAGCATTTGAAACCCCTAAGCCCATCCTGAGTAATACAAAAAGGCTACACCTACTCCAACAAAGTCATGCCTCCTAATCTCTGTCAAGTAGTGTTGCACCCTTATAACCATGCATTCAAATCTATGAGCCTATGAGGACTATTCTTGCTCAAACTACCACATACATTATCTAGTGTATTAAATAATATCTACTTAGTTTTGGAAATGTACAATGGAAAGTACTAAACACTGATGTAATATTTAATTTTCTTAAAGGTTTATCTCCATTGATTAGTAATCCCACGAGACAATTTGTGACCAGAGATTCAGAGAAAAAGGAAGATCTTCCACCTGTAGCAGCAATGCTAAGGTCAGCCATGACGAACCTTCATAATCATCACCTAAATGATGAATCAGTGAAGGATGCACTTATTGCCTTTCCTAATGATAGAGCTGCAAGTATCAGGTCTGGAGATCACCATGAACATTTCAGGTAACATTTAATATAAATAAATTTATGTTAAAAGACATAGTATCCAGGATAATATGTAGAGATCTGCAAGATTCTGGTGTTAAAGAAAGAAAGAAACTGCTGTTGGCAGTAATCAGAATGAAATTATATTCTTCCTTTTGTATGTGGAGTAAAATGGCTGTTAAGCAAGGTAGTATTTGCCTTATCTAACTCTTTATACCTCTTATTGTTCATTTGTTAAGAAATACACGGCACACGTAATAACTTTTAAAGTATATTATGAATACCAACAGATAAATGATAGAAATGATTATTTATCAGAATTAGACTCCAGAATAATAGTTATGTTTATTCAGTGTGATTGTGAGTTTGAATTTATCTGAATAAAACAAATTAAATTGTAGAAAACCAATTAATATTCATCATCATCCTGTTATGCTATGTCATAGGCACATGTCCAGTAACTCTTCCCCATTTGACCTAAAGCTTTTCTAGTTAAGTTGATAAAGAGCATTTAAACTTCAATTTTAATCTATTATAACCTCAAAGAAGTTACTAATTTACCAATGCTAAGTTAAAAATGATCAATACACAATTTTCTGACCTCCAACCTAGAAAATATTTTAGTGTATTCAAGAGTAAAAGAGGGTTACATTCTGCCAACTTATATGTTAATAGTAGACTACTTAAACTTAATAGTCCTGTACTTTTTCTACTCATCTGTTTACGTTAGGGGGGATCATAAAAATCACTAAAACTTTAAAATTACTTTAACTATTTGTTCACTTTACATCATGGTTACAGCCCCCTCTTTTCTATTCTCCCAGTCCCACCCTCCCACTCTTTTCCCGCTTTTCTCCCTACCCTTCTCATCAGAAAAGGGGACCTCTTCCATATCAACACAGCCTGGCACTTACAGTTACATCAGAACTAAAGGCATCCTCTTCCACTGAGGCTAGAAAAGGCAGCCAGCTAAGGGCAGGCAATCTGCAAATGGGGAACAGAGTTTATGTCAGAGACAGCCTCCACTCCACTTGCTAGGGGACCCACATGAAGGCCAAACTGCCTGTCAGCTACATATGTGTAGGGGGTCTTGGTACAATTCACACATGGTAATTGTATGGTGTTTCAGTCTCTGTAAGCCCATGAGCCTAGGTTAGTTGACTATGTTTGTCTTCTTGTGAAATTCTTGTCCCCTCTGGGTCCTTGTATCCTTCTAGCAACAATTCTACAAGAATCCCTGAGCTCCATCTAATGTTTGACTTTCCTACTTTACCATTTGATTCTTCAGCCCACATTTTTACTCTCTACAAAGGAAAAGTTCTATGATATTTACTTACTTCCTTAATATATTAATTTTACAAATTTCACTCACATCTCTCTATTTTCTGTTTGTATTTGACTAGTACAATAAAACCAGAACTATAATAACTATTCTGATATTTAAAATAATTATATATTATGAAAAGTTAGTTGTATGTTTTCTTCTGGCTCATAACATCCTTCCAATACCCTGAGTATATGACTTTTGGAAAATTTTAGAATCTTAAACCCATGTGCTTATACAGAGTTATAAAGGTTTAGTTAATTTTTTAAAAATTTGATTATAAATCTCTATTAATTAGGTCAAAAATTAACTGTATTTAAAATAAACTTAGAAATTCATAATTATTTAATAGCTATATATATTTCTTTCCTTGAAAAGTTGAGTCTAATACCCAGTAGAGAACTTTAGCTATGAAGAGAACTGTCTTTGTATAACTAAACATTTCCCTTTCATTCATATCACTCTGTAAAACTTTTACCACATTTAAACTTGTCATCATGTAACACTGAAGAATCATGGGGAACATGGAGATTCTTAATTTATGATTAATTTCACTTACATACATATATGAATTTATTATTGAGAAAATATTTCAATGTTTGATAAAATTTGTGGGTGATAGAGACAGATGAAGATCAGAAACTATGAGCAATTGTCCTCTAGTTTATTGGAAATTTATTATTCTTAAAAAGGAAGAATATAGTGCTGGTTGAGTGAATATGTCATATAAATTAATAAAGTTCTCTTATGAATTTTTTTCTCTGTATCAACTTATTATTGATGGATATTTCATGAGCTCTAAAGTTTAAGGAACTCATTGTTAGAACAACAACAATAAAATTTCTTCTCCAGTGGTTCCTGAAAAGTGGCTGAGAGGAAAGTACCCTTTGGAATTATATTTTTTAGAAGAGAGAGCCTGCTGACCACTAGCAGGAAGGATCTGGACTAGGAATGGGAAACTTTTAGAAGAGACAACCACTTTTTATGCTGCGACAGTTCTTAATAGGACAAACAGACTTAAGTTCCAGAGAAGAAAGAATGTTTTTACCTTTTAGAGATGTTTAGGGGTTAGAAGAGTTTCATATCACGTCAATTATGCTGGCCTAACCCCAGCCTTGGCATTGAGGAAACCTATTTTGCCTAGTCCACTGATAGGGGAAGTCCTCCTCTCCTACTGTCTGACCCTAGCTTATCAAGTCCCAATAGGACTGCCTGGAACCTCTTCCTCTGTGGACTGGTTAGGTGGTTTCCCCAAGGACATGGGATCAAATAGCAGGCAACTGAGTTCATGTCAGAGACTGTCTCTGCTCTTCTTACTAGGGAACCCACATGGAGACTGAGGTGCCATGCCCTACATCTGTGCAGGGGTTCTAGGTCCTCTCCATGTATGGTTCTTGTTTGATGCATCAGATTCTGAAGTCCCCCCCTGGGCCCAGATTTTGTGGCTTTGTTGGTCCCCTTGTGTAGCTCCTGTCTCCTCCTGGTAGCTTCTTATTCTTCCTAGGGGAGAGTGATGGGGTGAAAGACAGAGGGAAGAGGGGGCAGAAGAAGATCAGGGAGGGGAGTACAACCAGGATACAAAGTGAATAAATTGTAATAATAATAATAATAATAATAATAATAATGGAAAAACAAAAATATATCTCCATTAAAAACCAAACCAAACCAAACAAACAAACAAAAACCCTATTTTGTAGCTAAATGTGCAAGATTCTATTAGAGCACAGCACAGCAAGATTTCTTAGTAGTACTCTTTCTCATAGAGCAACAGGGCTTTTTTTTATCATCCTTATTTTTTGGGAAAGGGAATGCACCTAGAAGGTATATAATCTAACAATAGTATGTGTAGCATGACATCTTTTTTCTTCTTAATCTTGTAGGACAATTTTCACAAAGATGCCAAGGTATGATTATGTGGATCCTGATTTTGAATACACTGATTTGGAAAAACTGGAAAGAAAAATACATCAAGATCACTATGTAGACTATATTAGAAATTCAAGAAATGCACGCCTACAGAAAGAAGCACAGAGGTAAGATAGTTCCTCAAACAATGTGCTTAAAGGTAAGATTTGATTTTCTTCTTATTGATTATTTGAGTTATGTAATTTGTGGAGTACAGCATAATGATTAAATATAATGATCAAATCAGGTTATTTGTCATTGTCATCATGAACAGTTTTATAACTTTTGATCAATGTAATAATTGAAGATATTTATGAAGTTTAATGGAACAAGTATACAATGAATTTGGGTCCAATCAGGGTAACAAATGCTTGCTTAATTTCCTTGTCATTACCTTGGTTTTCTAACTTCCATACTAATGGCTGTATGTGGTGGCTGTATGTAACCCATAATAATGTTTTTGATAACCATTTCTCCACATCTTTTTAGTATTTGTCATAGTTTCTCATTTTAATAACAGCTATTTTAATGACATGAAGTGATAACCTCAGTGATATTTTGATTTTTGTTTTTCTGGTCCCTGAAGACACTGATTAGTCTAAAGTAAATTTGTGGTCTTTCTTTAAGAAGTATCTATTCATCTAAGTTGTTCACAGTTTAGTTTAATATTGAGTGACTGTTATTGAATTTTTTGGTGATATGTGTATTCTGAATAAATCTAGTTTCAAATGAATAATTTGCATATTTTACCCATTGTGGATTGTTTCTTCTTTTTATTCATTCCTTTGCTTTTCAGAAGCTTCTTTGCTTAATAAAGTCTAATTTGTGCTTTGAGTATTATTTATCAAAAAGGAAATCTAAGTATCTGTTTTTGTCTTAAGTTTAAATCCTATGTTTATTTTTTGATGTTTGTATAAATTATTATGATACAAATTTTAATCTTTTTGATATCAGATTTATTTCTTCATGCCTTATATTTGTTTTCATTTTGAGTTTTAGTAACATTTCAACATATGTTAAAAGCAAAATATTAGCTACTTTAGCTGCAGTAGCTCTTGCTAACTTTTTATTGGGAGTTGTCTTAGTTAATTTTCTCTAGTGGCAGATCCAAAGGCAAGGATTCACTAAAAGCGTATTCCCAAGACAAAGCTTTGGAGGACATAGGCATCAGAGTACACACATCAGGAGAAGAATTGATGTATTTCAAAAAAAATTTGTACTCAGCTCAATGCCAAGATTTTTGAGCATAAATAACATAAATCATTATTTCTTTTTTATAATTTTTATTTTTTATTAATCACAGGTTATTTACTTTGTATCCCAGATGTAGCCCCCTTCCTCATTCCCTCCCAATCACATCCTCCCTCCCTCATCTCCTCACCACCCTTTTCCAAGTCCACTGATAGGGCAGGTCCTCCTCCCCTCCGTCTGACCCTAGCTTATCAGGTATCTTCAGGAGTGGCTGCAATGCTCTCTTCTGTGGCCTAGCAAGGCTGTTCCTCCCTTGGGGTGAGGGGTGAGGTCAAAGAGGCAGCCATTGAGTTCATGTCAGAAATAGTCCCTGTTTCCCTTACTAGGGAGCCCACTTGGATACTGAGCTACCACGGACTACATCCGAGCAGGGGTTCTAGGTTATATCCATACATGGTCCATTATTGGAGAAATAGTCTCGTAAAAGACCCCTGTACCCAGGTATATTTGCAGGCAAATGGTAGGATCTACAAAAGATCATCCTGAGTGATGTATCCCAGAAACAGAAAGACCCACATGGTAAATACTCACTTATAAGTGGGTACTAGACCTATGAGAGAGGATAAACATACTAAAATCTGTACACCTGAAGAAGATAAACAAGAAAGAGGACCCAGGGTAAGATGGTCATTCTTCACTTAGAAAGACAAATGGGATGGGCATTGGATGTAGGAGAAAACAAGTAACAGGACAGGAGTCTACTGCAGACAGCCTCTGAAAGACTCTACCTAGCAGTGCATCAAAGCAGATGCTGAGACTCATAACCAAACCTTTGGCAGAGTGCAAGGAATCATATGAAAGTAGGGGGAGTTAATATGACCTGGAGAGGACAGGAGTTCCACAGGGACTAAATAAATCATTATTTCTGTCTTGAACTAAAGAGACTTTTCATTTTGATCCAAATTGCTCAGTGATTGTAGTCTGTCTTTTGAGTGTGACAAAGGAATAGGGGTAGCTATAACTTCCTCTGTGAGGGTTTTTTTTTCTCTTTCTGTTTTGTTTTCAAATTATACCATTGGTTTTTTTTTGAATTTTATTTTTTTCTTATCAGTTACATTTATTAACTCTGTATCCCAGCCGTGTCCCGATCCCTCATTTCCTCCCAGTCCCTCCCTCCCTCCCTCCCTCATCTCCACCGTGCCCCTTGCCAAGTCCACTAATAGGGGGGACCTCCTCCCCATTCATCTGATCCTGTTTTATCAGGTATCTTCAGGACTGGCTGCAAAGCTCTCCTCTGTGGCCTAACAGGACTGCTCCTCCCTTGGGGGGTGGGGACGCCAAAGAGCCAGTCATTGAGTTTCTGTTAGAAATAGTCCTTGTTCCCCTCACTATGGGAAACCAATTGGTTACTGAGCTACCACAGGCTACATCTGAGTAGAGGTTCTAGGTTACATTCATACATGGTCCTTGGTTGCATGTCAGTTTCAGAAAAGACCCTGTGCCCAGATATATTTGGTCCTTGTGGAGCTCCTATTCTTTCCTCATCAGACTAACTCCCCTTCTTTCTTATGATTCCCTGTACTCTGCCAAAGGTTTGGTCATGAGTCTTTGCTTTGAAAACACTGCTAGTTAGAGTCTTTCAAATGCGGTTTTTAAGAAGAGTAGAGGCCACTTAGTGGAGGAAAAATCCTTCAGATTAGCATTCCAATTCAGTTAAACAGATACAGATGAGTCTAGAACAGTGTTCCTCATGGAGGGTATTTGCACTTACTACTGTATTTTATGAACAAGTTTTCCTCAGTTACTCATCATTATCATCATCATCATCAACAACAAGAACATCAATATTATATTTATTTTTATAGGGAACTCAGATTTCTCCTTAACAAAGAAGATATAGGCATGCAGCCATCATCTAGTCTAAGGTCACCATCACCATCTCAATCACAAACAAAAGAGGAGATACCTTCATCTTTAAAAGCTTCTTCTCTCAGAGGTAAAAGATTGCTAAGCACCAAGAAAATGGCAAGCAGGGAGTCAGAATGTCTGGAAAGAAAGGCATGTTCACTTTTTTCAATTTTGTTGTTATGTCATGAGAATTCTTAAAGTGACTCTTACTAATACTGAATGATTAATTTGGAAAAACAGATCACCCGAAGACTTAAATCAAAGCCAACCACTCACCATGAAAAACATGACTGCAGCAAAGTTTTGACACCAAAGCAAATTCATCAAGTAATTGTTGGTAAGGTTATGCATAAATCTACTACAGTCTTTGTGTATGTGTGCTGATTGTTTTATTTTTATACAATATATTTGATTACTACCCACTCAATACATTACCCAATACCCACTCAATCCAGATTCTACTCACATCTCTATCCACAAATTATAAATTATATTCTCCCCCATTCTCAAAAGAAGATATTATTAAGATGGTAGAACTGAAAGACCATGGTTCATTTTACCTCACAACAGGAATTATACACCTGTCCTTGGACAGTTGTGTCATTGTGAGAGCTTTTGCCTCAGTTCCTAAGTTGTGAAACCTTCTACTAGAACTAAAGACACATGAGGATTAATTTTAGGTGATAGGTCTGTGCTCAGGTGACAGGGTAACAGATTATAGTCCTAGATTTAGACCAAGAAAAATTGTCTTAGCAGCAACCCCAATCTATTTTAGACTTATAGTTGTCATCAAGATTGACTGTACAACATGGTAGCTATAATTAAAAAGATAACGCATACATGAATATTGCTGAGAGTAGATATTTTAACTTTTAGCTGACAGCTGAAAAGTGCACGAGCTAATCCATATGTTAATTACCATTATTTACTATTTCACAGTGTAGACATAGGTAAAACATGGTACCATAGATAAAATATGTAAGGAAAAATGTGATATATTGATAAAAGAGAACATAATTAAAGATTAAAAAGGTATTTTGATATTTGCTGCTAAAGGAATCCATGTGAAAGACACTGAAATAAATCAAGCAGACCAATATGAATGCCACATTACCTTGTTTTTATCTGGAATTAAAAGAAGCACTTGAACTATAAAAGCAAAAAATAAACTAGTTGTTACCAGGATCTGTATGAGATAGAAGACAAAACAGGGATGTTGGTCACAGGATACAAATTCCATTTAGTATAAGTTCTGGAAAGCCATTGTAAGAGTTTAGCACTGTTACGACAGTTAATAACAAAGTTTTATATAATTGAAAATTGGTAGTGATACAAATGTATGTCCTGTATGAGGTGATAGAATTTTTTTAATTAATGTATTTATTTTTTATTACAGTTTATTATTTTTGTATCCCAACTATAGCACCCTTCTTCATTCCCTCCCTATCCCACCTTAACTTCTTTATCTCCTCTCATGTCGCTCTCCAAGTCCATTGATAGGACAGGTCATCCTCTCGATCCCTCTGAGCCTAGTGTATCAGAACAGCAACAGCATAGGCTCTAAGATCAACAATCAATAAATGGTACCTCATGAAACTGAAAAGCTTCTGTAAAGCAATATATATTGTCATCAGAACAAAACGCCAGCCTACAGACTGGAATAGGATCTTCACGAATCCTATATGTGACAGAGGGCTAATATCCAGAATATACAAAGAACTCAAGAAATAAAGCACCAAACCAAGTAATCCAAATTAAAATGGTGTACGGAGCTAAACGAAGAATTTTCAATAGAGGAATATAGAATGGCAGTAAAAAAAAAAAAAAAAAAAAAAAAACACTTAAAGAAATGCTCAATGTGCTTAGTCATCAGGGAAATGCAAATAAAAACAACCCTGAGATTTCATTTTACACCCATCAAAATGGCTAAGATCAAAAACTCAAGTGAGAATAAATGCTGGACAGGTTGTGGAGAAAGGGGAGCCCTCCTCCATTGCTGGTGGGAAAGTAACTTCTACACCCACTTTGGAAATCAATCTGTCTCTTTCTCAGACAATTAGGAATAGCGCTTCCTCAAGATCCAGCTATACCATCCCTAGGCATATATCCAAAACATGCTCAAGTATACAATGAGTTTACAGAAATTTTAATTAGATGTATTTAATCCTATCACAGTTCATTTATATGTGAGACAATATACTGCTTATTGTAAATGGCTATAAACGTTGTCAGTTTTATCTTTAAAAAGCCTGGCATATAGATAAAAAAGCAGATATTTTATAGAGGGATAGATGTATATATGAAAATATCCTTTGGAAAAGTAAAATGTTTCACTTTTTAAATTTTGTATTTATTATTTACTACAATTTATACATTTTGTATCCCGGCTATGGCCCCATCCCTGTCTCCTCCCAATGCCACCCTCCTCTCTTCTCCCACTATGCCCTTCTCCTAGTCCACTAATAGGGGAGGTCCTCCTCCCCTTCTATGGGACCCAGGCTCATCAGGTTGCATCAAGGCTGGCTGTATCATCTTCCTCTGAGGCCAGCGATGGCTGAAGCCCCCAGGAGGAGGTGATCAAAGAGCCCCCCACTGAGTTTGTGTCAGAGACAGCCCTCCCCCACCCCTTACTAGGGAGCCCACTTGTAAACTGAGTTGCCAAAGGGCTTCCTTTGAACAAGGGTTCTAGGTCCTCTCTATGCATGGTTCTTAATTGGAGTATCTATTTCTGCAGGACTACCTGGGCCCACTATTTTGACTGTTTTTTCTCCTTGTGGACTTCCTGTCCCCTTCATGTCATTTTTCTCCCTCTTAATCCATAAAGATTCAAGTACTCTGCCCAAAATTTGGCTATGAGTATGAGTATTTCCTTTGATACCCTGGTGGTTAGAGTCTTTCAGAGGTCCTCTGTGGCACACTACTGCCCTGTTCCCTGTTTTCTCCTACTTCAGATATCTGTCCTATTTGCCCTTCTAATTGAGGATTAAGCATCTTCCCTAGGGTCCTCCCTGCTGTTTAACTTCTTTAGGACTATAGATTTTAGTATATTTATCCTATATTTTATGGTAATATCCCCTTATAAGTGAATGCTTATACCATGTGTGATTTTTCTGCTTCTGGGTAACCTCACTCAGGACAATCTTTCCTAGTGCCCACCATTCACCTGCAAATTTCATGATTTCCTTGTTTTTAATTGCTGAGTAGTATTCCACTGTGTAAATGTACCACACTTTCTGAATCCATTCCTCCGTTGAGGGACATCTATGTTGTTTTCAGATTCTAGTTGTTACAAATGAAGCTACTATGAACATAGTTGAGCAAATGTCCTTATTGAACGATTTTGTATCTTTTGGATATATGCCTAGGAGTGGTGTAGCTTGATCTTGAGGTAGCACTATTCCTAATTGTATGAGAAAACAACAGATTGATTTCAAAAGTGGCTGTAGAAGTTACTTTCTCACCAGCAATGGAGGAAGGTTCCTCTTTCTGCACATCCTCTCCAGCATGTATTGTCACTTGAGTTTTTGATCTTCGCCATTCTGATAGGGGTAAGATGCAATCTCAGGGTCGTTTTGATTTGTATATATATCCCTGATGACTAAGGACATTGAGCATTTCTTCAAACATTTCTCTTCCATTCAATATTCATCTATTGAGGATTCTCTGTTTATCCCTTCACCCCATTTTTTAAATTGGATTACTTGATTTGTTGCTTTTTAACTTCTTTAGTTCTTTATAAATTCTGGATATAAGTCCTCTGTCAGATATAGGGTTGGTGAAGATCCTTTCCTAGCTGTAGGCTGGTGTTTTGTCCTGATGACAGTGTCCTTTGCTTTACAGAAGCTTTTCAGTTTCATAGGATCCCATTTATTGATTGCTGAATTTAGAGCTTGTGCTGTTGGTGTTCTGTTCTGGAAGTTGTCTCCTGTGTCAATGAGTTCTAGGCTCTTCCCCACTTTTTCTTCTAACCAATTTAGAGTGATGATTTTATGTTAAGGTCTTTGATCCACTTGCACATTATTATTTTGCAGGGTGATATATATGGATTTATTTGCATTTTCTACCTGTAAACATCCAGTTAAACCAGCACCATTTATTGAAGATTTTGTCTTTTTTTCCATTGTATGGTTTTGGCTTTTTTGTCAAAAACAAGTATCCATATGTGTGTGGGTTTATTTCTGGATTGTCTTTAGATTCCATTGATCAACCATTATGATTCTGTGCCAATTCCATGAAAGTTTTATTACTCTTGCTCTGTAGTACAGCTTGAGACTAGGGATGGAGATGCCTCCAACCAATCTCTTGTTGTGCAGTATTGTTTTAACAATTCTGTATTTTTTGTTTGTTTTTCTGTATTAAATTGAGAATTTTTCTTTCAAGGTCTATGAAGAATTGTGTTGGTATTTTGATGGTATTAGCATTGAATCTGTAGGTCGCTTTTGGAAGGATGGCCATTTTAAGTAAGTAAGTTAATTCTACTGATCCATGAGCATGGGAGATCTGTCCATCTTCTGATATCTTCTTCAATTCATGTCTTCAGAGACTTGAAGTTTTTTTTTTTTTTTTCAAACAGGTCTTTCACTAGCTTTGTCAGAGTCACACCAAGGTACTTTATGTTATTAGTGGCTGTTATGAAGGTGTATTTTCCCTAATTTCATTCTCAGCCCTTTTGTCTTTCTTATATAAGAGGGCTACTGATTTTTTTGAGTTATTTTTATATCCAGCCCCTTGCTGAAGGTGTTTATCAACTGAAGGGGCTTTTTGTTTGAATTTTTGGGGTCACTCAGGTATATTATCATGTTGTCTGCAAATAGTGATACTTTGACTTCTTCCTTTCTGATTTGTATCCCCTTGCTCTTCTTTAATTGTTTTATTGCTCTAGCTATGTCTTCAAGTAGAAGAGATATCGAGTAGGCAGCCTTCCCTTGTCCACGATTTCAATGGGACTGATTTAAGTTTCTCTCCGCTTAGCTTGATGTTGGCAATAGGCTTACCATATGTTGTCTTTACAATGTTTAGGTAAGTGCTTTGTATCTTTGATGTCTCCATGGCTTTAAATATGAATGAGTATTAGATTTTTTCAAATGATTTTTTCAGTATCTAAGGAGATGATCATGTGGTTTTTCTCCTTCATTTTGTTTATATGGTGGATTACATTGATGGATTTCCATATATTAAACAACGCTTGCATGCCTGGAATGAAGCCTACTTGGTCATGGTAGATGATATCTTTGATGTGTTCTTGGATTCGGTTTGCAAGTATTTTATTGAGTATTTTTGCATCAATGTTCATAAGAGAGATAGATTTGAGGTTGTCTTTTATGTTTGGGTCTTTGT